TAATCGAGCATGCTGATCACCCCCCTTGGGGATGATCAGCATGCTCGATTACCCCCCTGTGCCAACTCCCAGCCCCCTAGCTCAAACTTTGCAAAAAAATCGATAAAATCGATAAAAGTAATCGATAATCCTGAAAACCAATATTGTATTCGGAATCCCCATGCTCGATTACCCCCCTGTGCCAACTCCCAGCCCCCTAGCTCAAACTTTGCAAAAAAATCGATAAAATCGATAAAAGTAATCGATAATCCCGAAAACCAATATTGTATTCGGAATCCCCATGCTCGATTACCCCCCTGTGCAAACTCCCAGCCCCGTAGGTGAACTCAGCAAAAAAATCGATAAAAATCGATAAAATCGATATCGATCGATGACGAAAAGTAGCCTATGACACCCGCCGGGGCCCGAAATGTATGTGTGCCAAGTTTGGTCCGGATCGGTTCAGAAATGGAATTTTCTATTCGGAACATACGTACACACACACAGACAGACAGACAGACAGACATACAGACAGACATACAGACAAACAGACATTCAGCTTTATATATAAGATGATGGGAGGTAACCTTTAATTCAGTAGGCTTGGCTTCGAGAAGGCGGGGTTTTGTGACGTAATTAAGGCAGCTCGCGCCCGCGACGCACCTGCGACTCTCTCACGCGAGTGCTCTTTGATCACAAGCTTGCCTTAATTGGGTCACGGAGCCCCGCCCTTTCGAAGCCGAGAAGTTGAACCAAAGGTTAAACCGCAGGAGCTGTCCTGACAATGCTCCATAAAATCGTAATTACACCATCTGAAAAGCTTTGCAAACTTGTAAAAAGTTGACTAATAAAACCAGCTCGCGCGAAAACCCTGGTACACCATTTTTTAGATTTTTTGGAAACTTTTTAGAAACACTACTAATGCCCAAGGAGGCTGTAAGCTGAAAGTTTCTACCGTAACCCTACAGTGATAAAGAGCGATCAGTGATTCGCTCCATACTGTAAACCTAGTTTGAAACCTGCCCTATAAAACGGTATTTGAAGTTAGGTAAAAGGCTAATTGGAAAAAAAGATATTGACGATATATACATACCTGGACACCCTGTATAATGTCTCTGAATGCTGAATCAGAAGGTATGTATAGTGACAGGAGACATTACAGGTTGTATATAAAGGTTTCTAGAGATCTATGCACACAGTTCAGTAATTAATGGATCTTTACATGTACATGAGCTTTACCAAAACTTAGCTATTGTGTCATATAGCTTCTTGCTACGGAAAAAACACCAAGTTTTTTTTACTGCAGGTAGAATTAAATGGAAACTTTCGGAAAACGCTTGTGAGAAAGACTGCAATTTGTGCTTTGTAAAAAAAAACTGTCAATATTAAGTTAAGGTCACTGACTCCGATATGGACATTGAAAACGAAGTGTATTTAGCAGATTTTTCTAGTCTGACCAGCTTGCCCTTTGATGTGGTAAAAGGTGATCCTAATAAAGTAATCATTATATGTATGTAGGGTTATATTAGGCTGCTGCATAAGTTCTGCCCAATTTGAATTTTCAAATTCAAAATATCATAACTTCTTTCAAAATCAACGATTTTCATTAATCTTAAGTTCTGCGTGTTGAGCAATTCTTTGGCAATCGGAGAAGTGCTAACTCTTGGGAAAAACCTGTTAAAGAAGAAGAAAGAACTCAAAATTTTTAGTTTCGCAGCGTTCTCCTCCAAACCTGTCTTTTTTGACATGGCGATGCTTCCTTATGGGAACTGGCGGGCAGACTAGGTAGCCCCATGAGTAAATAGACGAAGTTTTGAAAGACAGAATAAAAACGAAGCCGTCTGCAACCCCGTTTTAGTATTGGGTTGTTTCAAAAGTTCTACGTTTTCGATACCTTTTTTGAACTGCCGATTTTCGAGGAGAAGACCATTTTTCATAAACAATATCATTCAAAAGCTCTTTTCTTCTAGTTTTTCAGGCATGTTTTCGTTTTCATAGATCTTTGTTCGCTGTGTGGTTGCGTACTTTGAAAAGACAGCGAAACAAATGTGAAACTGTTCGTCTTTGCTCTATCGCCGCGGAATCTACAGCCAAAAGAAAATTTTTTATTTAAAACGTACACAATGTTTGCTGGAGACTTGTGCTGCGAAACGCTCCTCGAGATATGATTTCAGAAAGATTTTGAACCCACAAATTTATAGCTCAAACATAACCCGTCTTTATGGTCCCTTCAAGTAGCATAACATAAACATATTGCAATCGCGGAACTTTTACTCTATATAATAAGATTAGAGCTAGAATAACTGCTGCTAGAAGAACGAAAAGATTTCCTGGTTTCTCAACGGCGAACAAAATCGAAAATGTCAAAAAATTGCATTTTTTGCCGCCTCAGAAAGAGCAAAATAAGTGGTTCCTTTCGGATTTTTCAGCACAAAATTTTTGTGAAGGAGTTTGATGAAATCCAAAGTTAGCGATACTGCTCAGTCGACTACGGGCTACACTGTGAGCAGTGCTTGTGCAACTCAGCTATATTCCAAATCAAGTTATGCTTTTGCAAAGTGAAGGTTTCTACAAGGAGATGTTCCTCGATTTTCGCTTATAAAATCTTCTCCACTGTTACTGCAATAATATTGAAGAGTGCGCAGAATAGTCAAAGATTTGCAGATTGTGATACAGTTCATAGCAATTGCAAAGATTATTTCTGAGAAGAGTTACGGTGAATCAAAGTGAAAGTTCGAAAACGGGTAGAACTTTTGAAACAACCCAATACTTGTAAAGTCGAGTAGATCTCCCGGTAAATATAGTGCGCCCGCAGAAGCGGTATCACTTACGCGATAACAACTGCAGCAGAGCGAGAAGTTGAAGGAATAGACTATGGAAAGTGATTAGAAAGCAGCTTTTGTTGTTTTGACCATTCATATCGTCCTTTTTTCCCAAGTGTACCTCCTGGTAACTGCATCGCATAACCCTTTCTTTGAACCATTTCAACAAAAAAATTTTTTTTTGCCACGCAGGTTGTTTCAAGGCCAAAAACTCACCAACAGGGGATCTCTGCTTATCTGAAAGTAACATTGTCTCATATCAGTACTTCATGTGATAAGGAAATAAAATTTAAAAAATAATAAAATGAAATAAAATCTGATAAATTGGAGAAACCTACTAGCGTAGTAAAGAAACGCCCACTGATAGAGAAGAGATGAAAGACGAGTTTACGTCGCAAACACTAAATGCGATGCATCTATCAGGAGTTACGAACTCCAACGGAGGTATTATTGATCAAAACAACAAAAGCTGCTTTACCTTACCTTCTATTCCTGCATAGCTGAAAAATGAAGGCTGAGCGAAGAGCTGAAATTGAGTGGAATTTCTTGCTCTCACAGTTGTTCACGCGCAAGTGCTGCCGCTTCTGCAGGAGCACTATTACCGGAAAATTTACTCGACTGTAAGTATGCCAACTTTGAAATAACGAAAATTTTGCTTGCCGGCGCCTCCAACATTAAACTCTTCGACTGCCTCAATTCATGGATTATTGCTTGTAGAACTTTTGTGTAAATAATCGCTCTTCAACAACAAATTTGTCTTTTGGAGGTCTAAGTTCAGCATAGCTGGAAAAGTAGAATTTGATTCTCTAGATATATTAGCGAACCTCCGGAGAATTTCAGGTGATATCGATGGTCAAGGAGTGTGCACATTATTGGGACCCTAGACCCGCCATCGAGTACAAGAGAAACAAATCATTTCTAAGTTTCATGTTATGATTGACTATGTAGTCCTTACACGCATTCGGTTAAAGATCGCTTCCTATCGCATACAGAGTTCATGACAAAGTGCGTAAGCACGAATCACATGCAGCGCATGACCTCATGAGATAAACGTAGTGGTATTGCTGTTTTTTTTTTTGAAAAACATGGTGGAATCGTGCTGTGAACTTTGTTTACACATACCGCATGGTACAAAAGCAGGGCCCGGCGGGGGTGGCGCTTTCACAAGCTGGATATCGTTTTTGGCCCGAAAAGGCAAAGGAGAAGTCGTACGATCCCCTTTGTTTACCGATAAACGATGCACATATCACTTTTTATTCATCATTCCTTGTTGATGCTACTGTCCTATGAACTTAGATTCCAGCAATGTGAAGATTCTGTGCTCCGATCGCTAGCCTGCCGGCAGGCGGGAATTCAAATCGCAATTCTTGTAAGAGGAAAATAACAAAATAGGCTCATTTTCAATGCACAAGTAACGATATGACACCAAATTTGCTGTATAGTTGGAGGACCATGAGCACAAAAAAAGTATGAAAAATTATGAAAAACCTATGTGAATTATAAAAATGGTAAGTGTTTTTCGAAATTAGGTGGCTCCCGCGCCACCTGGGAGCCACCTGGGGTGGCTCCCTGCTTCCCTTCACATAATTTCCCGGATTTCTTTACATAAATGTGGCCTAGGTCGAGAGTATTACTACATGTTCAAATCCGCTTCCAAAACCACCAAGGCACCGCTTAGATACAGGCCCAAATAGGGTTCACAGCGTTATGATCGGCCTCGGAAAGCGCGCTCCAATCGAAATCGGTGCACCTTGCACGGACGACGCGGAAACTTCGAGAATTTGACTTCTTGCTAGGCTAATGATCGCTAAATGAAGCAGTTTTCCCTAATTTCAAACCATTGTTTCTTCGATTCATGCTTGCATGGCTCGCAATGAAGGAGCGGTCGCATTTGGCTGTGATGTTTTGTGCAAAAAGTTGTTCCACAAGAGAATTTCTCCTGTTTCCGCAGTTCCGTCGGTTTTCCGGATTTTTGTGTTCTGTTCCGTCGCGTGTTTGTTTTCTTCCTTGTTTTCTTCTTGTTCCTCTATGCTCGTTGTTGCAGCTACGTCGATGTCATCGGAAGTGTGTAGAAAGTTTTTGACAAGATCGGATAGAGTCAAATCGGTGGACCTCCATCCCACTGAACCGTGGTCATCTGCTGCTCTCTATACTGGAGACGTTCAGATATGGAATTTTGAAAGCCAAGAACTTGTGAAGTCTTTGAAAGTAGGTTCCTTTCTTCATTTTCATTTTTAAGTGTTTTTGTATGCTAGACCCCGGCCAGACTTCGCTCAAAATTGCTCACTCATGAAGAAGTTCCTATCTGGCAAATAGTTAGTTGAGCGTTGACTGGTATTTTTGAGATGTGTTGGAAAGCGGGGTTTGTCGGTTTTGAGCGGTTTTGGGAGATTTGATCGAAGTCTGGCTGGGGCCTTATGGTGCTCACTTTATTTAAGCCCAGTGTCTGAATGGGGTCATAAACTTGCGCAATTTTAGGTTTGCGATTCGCCAGTGCGTGCCGTCAAGTTTTTTCCAAGTAAAACTTGGATTGTGACCGGGTCAGATGACAGGCACGTCAAAATCTACGACTACACCACATCGCTCCTAGTTCACCAGTTTCGGGCTCACTCAGACTACCTCAGGTGGGTGAACTTGATTTATGCCAATATGGTTCGTTTTTTGCATTTTTGAATTTCTGATTTTTTATGTTTTCTTTCTTTTTTTGCCTCTACTGGGTTGTTACTAAAGAGGGGGCGGTGAGATTGCGGCCTTTGCTCACCATTAAGGTTTCTCGGTTTTATTTTTCGAGTGAGACGCGTTTCTCTTCTCCAACGAGATGCTATTCATCTGAAACAATTTTGTGAAGTGTTGTGTTACTTTGGGCTTTGTTTGAGCAAGGGCCGCACAATACGAGGGAAGTTCGCGACAAGCTCAGCCCTAAATTAACACGTTTCGGACCGCGAAATCGCGCGCGGCGAAAAAGAGTGTATTTTAAGCCGTTAGCCAATAAAGGGGCCTTATTTTTAGACTGTGTGCTACATCTGTAATCAGTATGTCAGACAAGCTCCATATCCAAAGTTCTAGGTGAATTCAAATTGTTTGAATTGTGTCGTTTGAGAGAGACTTTCGTGCTTTCTTGAAAGATAGGAACAAGAACTCCGTCTCTAATAGTATTCAAAAGTTTCTATGTTCCACACGGTACACATCAATAAGACGATGGTTTTTCTGCTTGAAATCGAAGCAAGGAAAAGTTGCTATCTCCTAAACAAATATCGGCGGCACAGCTCTATAGAGTCATTTGAAAAGTAGGAGCTTAGACTTTTGACTTGATAACTTTGGACTAAAAGAAAAGCTCTTGTGAACGTCGAAAAGATCCTTCAAAGTCGCGTGCTGCACCATGTGCAGCACCGGTCCGAATCGTGTTAACGCTCGTTCTCGCTCATTGGTTCCCCACTCCACTGTTTTTGTGTTTTATATGTTTCATGTTTCTGTCATCATCCTGGTGCATTTTTCATTGTTCAGTGTTTGTTCGTAGAAAATCGAAGAATAAGGTTTTGCTTTATATGTGTGTCTCCTCTATACTTTTTCGTGCATCTGCATAGTTGTTGCAGTGCAAAAATCATCACCTTACAAGTGCAGTTGTTTTAAGTGGCTAATGATATGTCATATCTCGCTCATTTCACCCCCGTCTCGATGAGGGTAATTTTCCGGATGGAATTTTTCATCTCTCCTCTAAATCTTGCTTCTTAGGCACCCGCCATACTTCATCCTCTTGATGCGCTTTTTATTTATGCGCTCCTATTTATTTGTGTATATTGTCTGTCACGGAATTAGGGGGGGGGGTCAAAGGGGAAGTCGTAAGAAAATTGGCTTCAAAGGGGATATCGTTTTCAAAATTCTGAAATGCCACCTCCTGCCGGGCCCTGTACAAAAGACATTAAAGTAGCGCTGTTGACACACTATATGCTCTTGGAAGCTCTAGTCACGAAGCCGATTGGTAATATGAATCCAAGACCAAGGAGAAGCTACTGCAATTACGCGTTCGCAGACAAATCCCCCCCCCCCTCCTTCGCGAATTTTTGCAACTAACTGGTCGGTAGAAATGTTTTCCAAATAATCGAAAGTTTGCCTATTTGTACCCTATAATTGCACATTTCTGAGAAAACAGTTCCAAAGTAATTCCTTTCCGCGCAGAGTGAGCCAAGTTCTGGTAAGTAAGGATAGTTTGAGTAATGTCTTGTCCATTTCTTGGGCCATCTAGGCGTGATAATTCCCTAACATCGGCGCCAGATGCGGAAGGAGTTACAGTCAGAGGCAACTTTGAGATTTGCTTATGCGCGTACGCGAAATTCGAGTGCAATTGCGAATATGAAGCCGACAATCTCCCCTTACAGAAAGTTGAGCATTTATGAGCTTTATTGGTTCAGTGCAGAGAAAAAGGCAACAAAAAGAAAAATAAAGAATCTAGCTAACAATAATGAATTGTAGCAGAAGCTTCTTCTTAGACAAAGTTATCAGTATGAATGATGTATAGGGCAGTGACGCGATTTGATCGTCGCAATTTAATCGCTACAAGACAAGTGTGGCAGGCGCTATACTCCTCGAGGAGTATAGCATGGCGACGAGCGATCGCCAGTCGCCAATACTGGCGACTGTGTCTATGCGTATCGATCGCTAACAAGTTACCACACGTCCCATCGATACACATTTAATGTGTAGTCGCCAACACTGGCGACTGGCGATAGCCCGTCATAGCGAGTGGCGACCGCCAATATCGGCGACAAAAATCGCTGTTTACAACAAAAGTTTACACGTATCTGATGCATATCGATCGTCGCCATGCTATACTCCTCGAGGAGTATAGCGCCTGCCTGTAACAACATCATTGCATGCCGATCTTCTTGCATTTCGGTTGTGATAGTTTTCCAACGCGACTAATCATGAATGATTATCACAACCGAAATACAAGAAGGTCGGCATGCAATGAACTCGTAACACTTGTCTTGTATCGATTGAATCGCGACGATCAAATCGCGTGAACTCTGTCCGGGCCTTAGGCCCCGGGCAGACTTCACGCGATTTGATCGTCGCGACTGAGTCGCGACGAGACAACTGTTACAACATCATTCCATGCCGATTAACTTGCATTCGGTTGTGATACTTTTCCAGGCCGAAATTTTTGAATGTGAAATGAAAATGAATGGAAATCTTGGCGATTAGATCGCGACGATTAAGTCGCGTGAAGTCTGACCGGGGCCTTAGGCGTCAAATTTATGAGATTCCGGCAGCACACGCACAGCTGACTTTACGCCTAACTTAAGACGGCGGGACGATGGTTGAGTAAGATTGCGATCTTGATCCAACGCGGATTTCAAGTTACAATGCTCTCCACAACAAACAAGAATAATCACTTTACACATACACTATGATTTCCTTATGCCTTTGTAGGAAAGTAGGATTTTGTGCAATGTTTCTAGAGATACAGTAGGATTATTACAGGCAGGAGAGTGACGTTTTAAGGGAACTATTTTCGAATTTACAATCGACGTATCCATCCATGTACGGACACTAGTGGAAGCAGACCCAACACAATGGAATCAACACATGTTTGCACTGGTATACGTCAGAGGTTCGCTGGTGATGACACAAAATGTTGACGATTCTAGGTTATTGTAGCGGCAAAATTTGTGCTTCTCGTATGAGCACGCGTAAAGCCGTCGCGTTGAACAACGCTTAATAAGATCAAGCACATCGCTAAACAGCTTTTCATTTGGTGGCATGACGAGGTATGTCGTATTCCAAAAGCAGCATATGACGGTGTTGACGCGAAAGCACCTTTATGCGCTTTTTACCTTCAACTGTATCTTACGTTCAATGCTTCAATTCGTCCTTTTTTCCTAAATTGCCTGTAAGAATATATGCAATAAATAGGAGCTTTGCTGCAATAGATGGGACGCACAGTCAAAGGGCGTTCTGTTAGCTCTACGAGCGATTTTCCGCTTCAGAAGCAAACTTTTGCAACAAGGTTTCAGCAGTAAAATTGTCTGGTGAAATTGTACTAGGAAAGTGCAGGCGTAAGATATTATTTTTTACTCGACGTAAATGTACTGAAAGTACTGCGAACAGAATCCGATCACGAGTAAATGGAGGTTTGAATCTTACATTTAGATGTCTGCTTTGCGATCTAACTTCATCATCCAGCCACATTTTGCAACTATTTACAGTTAGTCTGTAATCATATATGAAGCTATTTAGATCTCGGTTGGAAGATGCTGAGAATTGCAATACTTTCAACATGCATATAGATGTCGCTTGCTTACCATTATCATGGACTTATGAAAAGGTACTATGGACAAATTGAAAACATACTCTGGACGTATGATTATGGTATGTCGTAAGAAAAATCTCAAATTTCGGCTTCGAACCTGCATAGTGTGTTAGACAAGTTTTACCTTATGTGATTTATTACAGTGGTGCACGCGAAGATAGAAAGAAAAGGATGGACAATGTATGCTATAAAGACGCTAAAAGTCTTGAAAGTAAATAATTATCATTAAACAAAAAAGAAGTTCAGAATATAATTTATTCTGTATATAGCCATCAAGAAAACACCATCTCAACTTCACCTCGTTCGTTCCTACACCTTTCAAGAATCGAAGAATTCATGTCAACCTCACGAGGGAAGAGCAGTACCTTCTAGGAGGTGAGTACATGAATACATTGTTTTTGCTTGTTACAAGCGTCTAGATCCCAAAATGTAATTCTACATTCAGGTAAAATAGTCGGTACACGCGAACTTACATGCTTTAAATGCATATATCGAGAGTGGGATTTCTTTGCAAGAGAATACTTTAGATGGACCTTGGACTATCGCACATAAATATTAGCTACTAATGTTAGATTACAATATTAATATTGTTACTTCAAAGTGACAATGCACTGTTGCACATAAATATTAGCTTAGGATGGAATGATGAGAACTTAGCCTATCTGTTTCAGAACGGTTGTTTCTTCAATTCGTTGACCGCGCGGACTGCGCATCACTGCAGAGCACGCGCCGCGAGTAAAGCGTTTACCTCAAAATAGCCATTGTACATATCGTGCTTTCGCAACATTTTAGCCGCGCCGAGCGTGGTCCGCAGCGTTGAGGCAGTCCATGCGACCTACGAATCGACTATAAATCATTTGGACTCGCCTTGAAACGCTGATCTCAAGTATTTGTTTAATATCTGCGTTACTGTGGAGGGAGTGGCATGCGTCAAAAATCCGAATCTCAACTACTCCATAACACATGTTGGACAGAAAGCGTCAAGAAAATACTAATAGTCTATAGTGAGTGTGTACTTTTTCGCTCAAAATACTCAGAATCACTGTCACAAGCCCTCAGGCTGCCTTTTAACGGACATTTTCCAAGGATTATATTGTGTTCTCAAAGTTAACGCCCATAAATCCTCTAGGGTAAGTCGCGTAATAGATGCTAAACATATACTTCCGATCAGCGTTCACACCGAGCCATGATATAGCTTGTTCAAATTGTTGAGTCAATTGAATGAATATTTTCTCTTTGGCATGAGTATTTTCGAATTTTCACTTCTCCCAGTAATGTACGTTTATGATCATTTCTCATTCCGCATGTTTATGCACCTATTGATATTTCAAAATATAAAGAGCTACACTCGTACTTTTGGCATACTTCCTTTCTAGCGACTTTTGCCGGCACGCATACAAATGAGTAGACTTCCCGCTTTTTAAAGTGTGCTTGAGTAAGAA